ACCTGGCTAGGTCATTTTTATAAGAAAATATGTAGTCTTATGTCTTATGTTAATCTACCTTCTACTCACTATCCCACATCCTATAGAAAAATAACTAAGAGTGATGGGACTATATCTCTCTCTCTCTCTCACATACACACACACACACACACACACACAAAATTAGGCCGGGCACTGGTGGCTCATGTCTGTAATCTTAGCTACAGGAGGCTGAGATCTGAGGATTTTTTTTTTTTGGGTCCGGTCATGGGGCCTGAACTCTGGGCCTGGGCACTGTCCCTCAGCTCTTCAGCTCAAGGCTAGCCCTCTTCCACTTGAGCCACAGCACCACTTCCGGCTTTTTTCTTTTTGCTTATATGGTGCTGAGGAATCGAACCCAGGGCCTCAGGCATGCAAAGCAAGCACTCTACCACTGAGCCACCTTCCCAGCCTCCGAGATTTGAGGATTTTGATTCAAAGTCAGCGCAGGCAGGAAAGTTTGTGAGACTCATCTCCAATTAACTACTAGAAAACTGGAAGTGGTGCTGTGGCTCAAAAGGTAGAGCACTAGCCTGGAGCAAAAGAACTCAAGGACAGTGCGCAGACCCAGAGCTCAAGCCCCACAACCAACAATAATGAAAAAAAGGAAGAAAAGGAGGGACACTGAGGGTGTAGTTTACATGGTAAAGCACAAGCTTACCAAGTGCATGCTTGGCATTCAAATCCCACCACCACCAAAGGAAGAAAATAGAGTCAAAGAAATAAAACTTAAGTAAATGAATAAAAGAAAAAAAAACTGCCTAGACAGGTAATATGGTGAAGTTTAGATTCTAATTCTCTTAGCAACAGTCTACCACAGAATGTTCTGTTTAAAGGACTCTTTCTTGGAACTACAGGATGACATGAGCAATATTTCTGTTTGAAATCTATTTTCTGTCTGATAGTTCTGCTACTCTGAAAAACTAAATAAACAAGTTCGGGTTTATTTCGCTGCTAGGTAAGCATATAAAGGATGTGGACTGAGCTGTGCTTGACAGTCCTGAGGGAATTGTGAAGGACAGTTGTCAGGGCTAAGCCCCTCCGTGGCTGCCCAGCACACAATTTGTAGAAAAGACTACTTTTTCCGTGGGACATTCCTAGACTTGTAAGCAATTGCTTGGTCATTTTTTTTTTTTTTTTTTTTTTTTGTCGGATGTGGGGCTTGAACTCTGGGCCTGGGCGCTGTCCCTCAGCTCTTCAGCTCAAGGCGAGCGCTCTACCACTTGAGCTACAGCGCCACTTCCGGTTTTCTGGTGGTTTATTTGAGATCGGAGTCTCACGGTCTCTCCTGCCCGGGCTGGCTTTGAACCATGATCCTCAGATCTCAGCCTCCTGAGTAGCTAGGATTACAGGCGTGAGCCACCAGCGCCCGGCAAGGGTTGTTTTTTTTTTGTTGTTGTTTGGTTTTTTTTTAACTGTATTTTTTTGTCTTTTCTTTTTTGGTACTGGGGATCGAACCCAGGACGTTGCACTTGCTAGGCAAGCGCTTTGCCACTGAGCTACATCCCAGCCCTGCTTGGTCATTTATGTGTGCGGTTTTTCCCTTTGACTCTAAGTCGTCCTACATGTTTGATATATGTATCTGTTCTTATTCTAGTAGCACACTGTTGATGACTAGCTTTGTGTTAAGTTTGGTATGGGGAAATGTGGGTCCTCCACTTTTAGTCTTCTTTTCAAGGTTGCTTTGTCTATTCTGGACCTCTTACACTTCCATATGAACACTAGGCAATGCTTGTCAACATATAAGATTTTTTAAAAAGCTGTCCTTAGGTTTTAGTTTCCATATTTTATTATTCTTGGAGATAACATTCTGTAAGACAATGATTTGTTGTTGTTGGTTGTGGGGCTTGAACTCAGGCTGGAAGCAGCACTGTGATAAAAGTAGTAGAGCACTAGCCTTGAGCTGAAGAGCTCAGGGACAGCACTCAGGCCCTGACTTCAAGCTCCATGACCGACCAAAAAAAAAAAAAAAAAGAGTCTCATGGACTTTTCCTGCCCAGGCTGGCTTTGAACTGCAATCCTCAGCCTCCTGAATAGCTAGGATTACAGGCATGACAATGATCCTTAGGAGTTGTTGTGGCATCTTTTATTGATTCAGTATGTGCTTGTAAATGTTACATGGGATCTGAAAACTTTTTGGTATTCTGTTTTCTTTTGTTTTTTTTGGTGGGTTGTGAGGCTTGAACTCTGGGTTTGGGTGCTGTACCTGTGTTCTTCAGCTCAAGGTGAGCGCTCTACTGCTTGAGCTACAGTGCCACTTCTGGTTTTCCAGTGGTTTATTGGAGATAAGAGTCTCATGGATTTTCCTTGCCTGGGCTGGCTTTGAATCATGATCCTCAGATCTCAGTCTTCTAAGTAGCTAGGATTACAGGCATGAGCCACCAGCACCCAGCTACTTTTTGGTATTCTGTTTTTGGATGTTCTTCATATCTTTTTAACAGCCTGAGATTGTTAATAACATGTGCTTTTTTTTTTTCCTGTTAATATCACTAGGTTTGATTCAGGTCTCTGTGCTTGCTAGGCAACTCTTACCTCTGAAGCATATCTGCAGCCCTCTTATTTTTGAGATAAGGTGTATATCCGGATGCAGCCTGCTATTTTTCTGTGTACCTAGGATGACAGTAATATGTCACTGTGTCCAGCTACTCTTTGAGAAGGGGTCTAGTGAACTTTTCTGCCCAGGTTTGCCTCAAACCTCAATCCAGTCAGCCTTCCAATCTCCACTTTCCATGTAGCTAGGATTACAGGTGTGAGCCACCTTGCCCAGTTAAAATTTACATTTTTAATACTGAAGCTGTAGGAAGAAAGAACAGTAGAAACAATTTGCAGAATTATAGTAGAAGATCACAACTAAAAATTCACTTTTTTTTGGGCTGGGAAGGTGGCTCAGTGGCAGAGTGCTTGCCTTGTATGCATGAGGCCCTGGGTTCGATTCCTCAGCACCACATAAGCAGGGAAAAAAAAGCCGGAAGTGGCGCTGTGGCTCAAGTGGTAGAGCGCTAGCCTTGAGCTGCAGGCAGGCCCAGGACCAGACCCCCCCCCAAAAAAAAAACAATTTTTCACTTTTTCTTTTTTTTGGCCGATTGTACAGCTTTATCTCAGGGTGTGGGTGCTGTCCTCAGCCTCTTTGTGCTCGAGGCTAGCACTGTGCCACTTGAGCCACATCTTTATTCAGACATCCCTAGCTCATTCTCTCTTCATTCTCTGTCTCTTTCTTTCTCTGTTTTTGTGTGCTCAGTGCTGCATAATTGGATAAAATACTGAACAGTTCCAAAGCCAGGAGAATCCCTTATCACTTTTTTTTGTTGTTGTTGGTTGTGGGTCTTGAACGCTAGGGCTGGGTGCTGTCCCTGAGCTCTTCAGTTCAAGGCAAACACCCTACCACTTGAGCCACAGCACCACTTCCAGTTTTCTGGTGGTTCATTGGAGATAAGAGTCTCACTGACTTTCCTGCCTGGGCTGGCTTTGAACTGTGATCCTCAGATCTCAGCCTCCTGAGTAGCTAGAATTACAGGTATGAGTCACCGGTACCTGGCCCTCTCATCAGGTTTTGTAACCATGCTCACTTCCCTCTTACCACTCACTCTCCTCTTTGTCCCCAGGCATGACTAATTTTATAATTTCAAAATATAGATGAGGCCGGGCGCTGGTGGCTTACGCCTGTAATCCTAGCTACTCAGGAGGCTGAGATTTGAGGATTGTGGTTCAAAGCCAGCTAGGGCAGCAAAGTCTGTGAGACTCTTATCTCCAATTAACTACCAGAAAACTGGAAGTGGTGCTGTGGCTCAAGTGGTAGAGCATTAGCCTTGAGTTGAAGAGCTTGAGTACGGTGCCCAGAGTTCAAGCCCCACAACTGACAAAAAATAAAAATTAAAAAAAATAATGAGCTGGGCCTACTGGTATACAACTGTGGTCTCACTTACTTGAGAGGCTAAGACCAGAAGATTGTTTGAGCCCAAGAGTTCAAGACCAGCCTGGGCAATATAGTAAGACTGTTTTTCTCCCCTCTAAGCCTGAAAGGAAAGAAAAAGGAAGAAGAAACATGTTATAAATGGAAGCCTATAATATGTAACCTTTTGTGCCATGATAATTCCCTAGAGACTCATCCAGTTGTTATAGGCATCAGTTGTCGTCTCCCCCCCCCCCCCTTTTTTTTTTTTGCCAGTCCCTAGGCTTCAATTCAGGGCCTGGGCGCTGTCCCTGAGCTCTTTTTGCTCAAGACTAGCACTCTACCACTTGAGCCACACCACCACTAATGGCTTTTTCTGTTTATGTGGTGCTGAGGAATCGAACCCAGGGCTTCATGCATGCTAGGCAAGCACTTTACCACTGAGCCATATTCCCAGCCCCAATAGTTCCTTTTTTAAATTATTAATTTTTTTTTGCCAGTCCTGGGGCTTGAACTTGGTGCTTGAGCTCTGTCCCTGAGCCTTTCTATGCGCAAGGCTAGCGCTCTACCACTTGAGCCACAGAACCCCTTCTGACTTTTTCTGCTTATGTGGTTCTGAGAAATTGAACCCAGAGATTCCTACATGCTAAGCAAGCACTCTACCACTAAGCTGCCTTCCCAATTCCTTTTTATTACCAGGTAGTTTTTCTTAGTGTATGGCTTTGTACCAGTATTTGCATGTTGAAGGGCATCTGGAACACTTCCAGTTTTGTTTTTTTTTTGTAGGTTATGGGGCTTGAACTCTGGGCCTGGGCGCTGTCCCTGCACTCTTCAGCTCAAGACGAGCGCTCTACCACTTGAGCCACAGCACCACTTCCGGTTTTCTAGTGGTTTATTGGAGATAAGAGTCTCACAGACTTTCCTGCCCGGGCTGGCTTTGAACCGTGATCCTCAGATCTCAGCCTTCTGAGTAGCTAGGATTACAGGCGTGAGCCACCAACGCCTGGTTTACTTCCAGGTTTTAATTGTTGTAAACAAATAAACCTACTGTGAACATTCAGATCGTTGTATGACCTTGTTTTTGCTTCTCTAGGATCAATGCCCAGAGCCAAGGCAGTTTTTCTTTATGGATTTCTGTCCATCGCTGTTTTATAGACCTAGTAGAGTCTTCTAAGGTATGTATGTTTGTGGTGGTTAGATCTTTCCTTTTCTTCCTACCTGTGTGGAACATTTGTTATTGCCCCATTGTTAATCTTTGCCTTAAATTTAGTTTGTCAAGTTTTTTTTTGGTCGGTCATGGGACCTGAACTCTGGGCCTGGGCAATGTCCCTCAGCTCTTCAGCTCAAGGCTAGCGCTCTACCACCTGAGCCACAGTGCCACTTCCAGCTTTTTCTGCTTATGTGGTGCTAAGGAATCAAACCGAGGGCCTCAGGCATGCAAGGCAAGCACTCTACCACTGAGCCACCTTCCCAGCCCTGAGAAAATACTTTTAAATGAGAAAGGATTGTTGAAGAGTAAGATTTGCAGTAACTGCAAATGTTCCAAAATGATAAGACAAACTCCAGGGTGGTGTGGATCAGGTCACAAGGTACCAGACAATGAGCAAAAGCTAGCATCAGATAAGGAGTTGGAGTTCTGGTCTTGGGCAAAAAAAAAAAAAAAAAAAGGACAAACTCCAGAAGGTTCAAGAAAGTAGCAGGATGTATGAATGATACTATTTAGGGAGTCTTCAGGTTTGTTGTCTCAATCTGAGAAGGGATTGAAGAAGAAGACACAAGAAGATGGGAGAAGAAGTTGAGAGTTTTTTTTAATTATAGGAGCTAAACTAGTTGAGAGTGGAAATAACAGACTCTTCTGAAGAGGAGTGCTACCAGATAGAGAATTAGGGTCAGGAAAGGTAGAGTAGAAAGGCAAAGTTTATTTGAAAGTAAGAGTGAGATGCCACGAGAAATTGAGGAAAAGGCTTTTAGCTATTGGTGGGTTGTCATAAGCCCCCAACTTGGACTCCTAACTAGGAGGACTGCCTTACACCGTAGGCAGTAGGAAGTCTCATCTACCTGTTTTCCAGGGAAGAAGGAAAAGGGGAACAGGAAGAGGAGAAGGATGGGACAGGTTTCTCAGTGTAAGAGAACCAGAAATGAGGCCCAGAAATCAATAGCTCCCCTATAGGCTTGTGGAGTCCATCTTTTATAGTTCTTTGGGCAAGTCTCAGCTGCTCTGTCATCTGATTGAGTCACGTGTTCCCTCCCCCCAAGGAAGGGCCTGCCCCTGCCTGGTCTGCTCCAGAATCATCAAGGTCTTTGCTTTCTCAGGGCTGTTATCTCAACTTTCCCAGAGAAGGGTGTAGGGACTCTACTGGGCAGTCTCTGCTTTCTCAAGGTCTTGTGGAAGAAGAGGAGGTACAGGCTCCATGTGCTATCTTGGTCTTCCCCAGGGTCCCCAGGGTCCCCAGGAAGAGGAGGGAGTGTCTGCCACTGGGTGGCTCTCTCTCCCTGCCAGTCTACACAGTTCTAAATCTCCCTCATGTGTAGCTCTCGATAAGTATGTAAAGGAAAGAACTTATAAAAAGTTTTTGTGTGGGGCTGGGAAGGTGGTTCAATGGTAGAGCGCTTGCCTTGCATCCATCAGTCCCTGGGTTCCATTCCTCAGCACCACATAAGCAAAAAGAAAAGAACCAGAAGTAGCACTGTGCCTCAATTGGTAGAGCACTAGCCTTGAGCTGAAGAGCTTAGGGACAGTGCCCAGGCCCAGAGTTCAGGCCCCACGACCGGACCCCCTCCCCCCAAAAAAAAAGTTGCTAAAAAGTTTTGGTGTGATTAAGATAGCTGTAATTAAAAGATTATTGTGGGTGGGGATGGGAGGGAAAAACTGAGAGTAAGGGAAGGGATGACATTGTCTTAAAAGATATACACTCTTTTTTTTTTAAAGAGAAGTATAACAATTTTTTTTATTTTCTTTTTTGTCATTTTTTTTTTATTGTAAAGATACTATACAGAGGGTTACAGTTACATGAGTGAGGTAATGAGTACACTTCCTCTTGAACATTGTTACCCCCTCCATTGTTTTCCCCCTACCATCCCCTCCCTCCCTCCCTTCCCTGAGGTTCTTTTTTTTTTTTTGATTGTGATTAAGTGATTACATAATTTCAAAGTCACAAGTTCATTCTAACTTTCCTGGAGCAAATTGTCTATCACAGTCTGTAATATATAACAGTGTTTACATGTTATATACCATATTTGTGATCAGCAGCATGGGGATATTTAGTAGTGGTTCAACCAGATGAGCGGGAGTTCTTTGTTTCTTAAGTCCTGTTAGTTTTGTCGTATCACCTAACATTTTGGATTTAGCATCCACTTATCAGGGAGACCATGTACCGTTTGTCTCTTCGTTCTTGGCTTACCTCGCTCAACATGATTCCTTCTAGCTCCATCCATTTCCCTGCAAATGCCATTATTTTGTCATTTCTAATGGCTGCATAATATTCCATTGTGTATAGATACCACAATTTTTGGATCCATTCATCTGTGGTGGGGCATCTAGGTTGTTTCCATATCCTAGCTATTGCGAACAGTGCTGCAATAAACATGGAGGTGCACGTGTCCATGTATATTGGTTCCTGTTGTTCAGGGTAGATGCCTAGAAGTGGTATGACTGGGTCGTAAGGGAGGTCAATCTTTAGCTTTCTAAGGACCCTCCAGACTGCTTTCCAAAGTGGTTGTATAAATGTACATTCCCACCAGCAGTGTAATAGGGTTCCTCTTTCTCCACATCCCCTCCAGCATTTGTTGTTGGCTGATTTGTGGAAGTATAACAATTTTTATTAATTTTATGTGGACATACTGATCTCAACAAGAATGAGCCCCTCCCCTGCCAAAATAACAAAAGCATGGTTTGAACAAATAACAAAGTATTTATGAAGGACTGACAGGGCAAATGGATTTCATAACTAAGGCAGTAAACTCTAAAGTTTGTACTAAAGAGATGTACAGTGATATAGAGTACAGTGGAAGACAGGGCCGCAGCAAAACTTTTCACTGTCTTCCCAATGAGCTGATGGTCAACACTACCTTTCAGTCGCTGTAGATAAAAGACATCCCTCCCAAAATAGTCTTTTTTTTTTTTTTTTTGGTCGGTCGTGGTGCTTGAACTCTGGGCTTAGGCGGTGTCCCTGTGCTCTTCAGCTCAAGGTGAGTGCTCTACCGCTTGAGCCAAAGCACCACTTCTGGTTTTCTAGTGGTTTATTTGAGATCAGACTCTTACAGGGGCTGGGAAGGTGGCTCAGTGGTAGAGTGCTTACCTTGCATGCATGAGGCCCTGGGTTCCATTCCTCAGCACCACATAAGCAGAAAAAGCCAGAGGTGGTGCTATGGCTCAACTGGTAGAGTGCTAGCCTTGAGCTGAAGAGCTGAGGGACAGTGCCCAGGCCGAGTTCAGGCCCCATGACCAACAACAAAAAAATAAAAGTAAAATAAAATGTATTTCAAAATTATTTTTTAAAAAAGTCTCATGGGCTTTCCTGCCTGGACTGGCTTTGAACTGTGATCCTCAGATCTCAGCCTCCTGAGTAGCTAGGATTACAGACGTGAGCCACCGACGCCCAGCTCCAAGATGGTCTTTTGTTGCTGTTGTTACCAGTCATGGGGCCTGAACTCTGGGGCTGGGTGCTGTCCCTCAGCTCTTTAGCTCAAGGCTGGCTCTCTACCACTTGAGCCACAGTGCCACTTCTGGCTTTTTCTGCTTATGTGGTACTAAGGAGTCAAACCCAGGGCCTCATGCATGCAAGGCCAGCACTCTACCACTGAGCCACCTTCCTAGTCCCCAAAATAAGCTTTATAGCCTTTTGTTTTGATTTCCTGGTTGTGTTTTTTTTTTTTCTAGAATCACTTATTTAATATGAAAATTTAAGTAAATATAAAGATAAATACAGATATAAATACTTCTACGCATATGTATGTATACACCCATTTTTTGTTGTTGTTGAGCCATCTAACGGTTGTCTGTAGACATTACATTTTACACTGCAGTGCCTTACTTCAGGTGGCAAAAAGTTCTGGGGTTTCAGGATATTTTATTTTATTTTTGTCGGTCGTGGGGCTTGAACTCTGGCTTGGGCGTTATCCCTGCGCTCTTCAGCTCAAGGCAAGCACTCTACCCCTTGAGCCACAGCGCCACTTCCAGTTTTCTAGTGGTTAATTGGAGATAAGAGTCTCAAGGACTTTCTGCCTGGGCTGGCTTTGAACCATTTCCTCAGATCTCAGCCTCCTCAGTAGCTAGGATTACAGGCATGAGCCACCAGATCCTGGTTAGGACATTTAGTTTAGCATGCATCTCCTGAGAACCAAAACATTTTTCTGTTTGAATATATCAGTTTTCACAATTTTACAGTACTTTTTGCTAATACGTACCAATGTTCTAATTTCTCCAGTATCTCAATTACAGGCTTTATACCTGTGTTTGTCTTTTTAAGTCCAGGGTCAAACTGCATCTGGTTATCATTTCTTAGTCCCTTTTAATCTAGAAATTCTGGTTATTTTGTGCTAGTTTGAACCGTGATCTCCAGATCTCAGCCTCCTGAGTAGGTAGGATTACAGGCGTGAGTCACCAGCTCCTGGCTTACCAAATTAATTCTATAGATTTTTGTCAAAATTTTTTCTGACTATTGAAACTGAATTTTAACCAAGTCAAATTCATTTGAGTGTCTATTTCAAGGTCTTTTAAATAGTTACTTTATAACCCTGATTAAATATGTAGGGCTACGGTGCTAATTGTTACTGGTTTCCTTGTATTTTTAATGTATTTTCATTCTCCAAGTATATAAGCCTTCTGAGATATAAAGCTGGGGAGATACTTTGTGAAGAAGCTACCCTCTAAATTGATGATAATGACCAGGCGCTGGTGGCTCACACCTATAATCCTAGCTACTCAAGGAGCTGAGATCCAAGGTTACAATCTCAAAGGATGTGTTCCCCTTCTGCGGGAGCCCCTGTGCCATCCCAAGACCTGGGTGGGAGCCCAGCTGCCCCAGCTCTCCTGTTAGCAGAGAACAGAGGGCAAGAAGCTCCTCACCTGTATGACACTCTGTACCAGGAGAAAGTAGCCAAAGATTGGCTGAAAGTGAACAATGATGAGATGTAACAGGAACTTAAAATAGAGGATGCAAACTGAAGGTTTATG